ATATAGGGAGGCTTCACTGTGGATCAGGGTAATATAGGGAGGCTTCACTGTGGTTCGGGGTAATATAGGGAGGCTTCACTGTGGATCAGGGTAATATAGGGAGGCTTCACTGTGGATCAGGGTAATATAGGGAGGCTTCACTGTGGATCGGGGTAATATAGGGAGGCTTCACTGTGGATCAGGGTAATATAGGGAGGCTTCACTGTGGTTTGGGGTAATATAGGGAGGCTTCACTGTGGATCAGGGTAATATAGGGAGGCTTCACTGTGGATCAGGGTAATATAGGGAGGCTTCACTGGCTCAGAGTATATGTAGCAGAGTTGAGAATAATGTTATTTGAAGTTATTTGGTGGTGGATTTTAAGTTCAGCATGATTAATTCAGTATTTCCAAGAGAAATGAATACTTCCCACAACCCAATAAGGGCCCCCAGGCCATAGAGATCCTCATGGTAATTGAAAGGTGTCATTTCTAAACAAGAAGTGTGTCATCACATTTGATTGGCTACAAGTTTCTGTAAACCAAGTAGAACCAGTTTGATTGGTTTGGCAATGCACATGCTTTTCATGCTGTGAGCATGCTTCATGCATGATCACTTGGCTGGTGACATCAGGAGTGGAAACACACATTCCTTTCTTGCTGGGTGTGTGAAAACTTCAGGTTAGTTTAGTTGTTTAAGAAAAGTTGTTTTACAAAAAGTATAAAATATGGATAAAAATTGTTGTATTGTTTTACACTTTATAACAGTAGTATAATTGTTGTTCATGCAATTTGGTAATAACTTAACTTGGAACATTTCAAGTGTGTAGTTGGGTAAAGAATAACTGTTGATAGTAAACATTTGGCAGGTTTGTCTATGCAGTTAATTATTGTAATATTTGGTGTATTTTAAGAAACTGTAGGTTGGATATGGCAGTGGCGACCAGGTTAATATCTGCTTGTGAGAACATGTGGTTCAGCCCATAGTTGGTAATTATAAGTGTTGTATATATTGCCGTCATTTAATTCATGATAATTATGGTAAGGTACAGTACAAAAGATTTTGTTAATATCTCTATTGTAATTAAGCAGTCTCTTGCCATTTACCTTTTGTTAATGTTTTGTATGTCGTAATGTTATTTTGCTTTTAAGCTATTTTGTATGTCCTGTACAGAGTGATGTGCATCCAGCTCTACATGTATGTCAGTTACAGTTGGAATAGAGTATTTTATATTGGATTTGATAATGTTGACAGGACCGTTGTAACCACGAGATCAAGCTGTGCAATAAAGAACTCAGCCCAATACATGGATCATGTCTACACTGATGGATGCATGCCTTACATATAGGGAGGCTTCACTGGATCGGGTTAATATTGGGAGGCTTCACTGTGGAACGGGGTAATATAGGGAGGCTTAACTGTGGATCGGGGTAATATAGGGAGGCTTCACTGTGGATTGGGGAAATATAGGGAGGCTTCACTGTGGATCGGGGTAATAAAGGGAGGCTTCACTGTGGATTGGGGTAATATAGGGAGGCTTCACTGGATTGGGGTTATATAGGGAGGCTTCACTGTGGATTGGGGTAATATAGGGAGGCTTCACTGTGGATTGGGGTAATATAGGGAGGCTTCACTGTGGATTGGGGTAATATAGGGAGGCTTCACTGGATTATATTGGGGTTATATAGGGAGGCTTCACTGTGGATCGGGGTAATATAGGGAGGCTTCACTGTGAATCAGGGTAATATAGGAAGGCTTCACTGTGAATCAGGGTAATATAGGGAGTAGATGGCACCTACAGCAGAGTTCCAACTGGTGCTGGATATTGGATTTGTGGAGTTGCTGGAATCACAAGACGTTTGGGTCATCAATGGAGAATAACTTCTTCACTAGAGTGTGCAACTCTTCATCATTCCAGCTGCTGGCAGAAGCCGGAACTGAAGAACTGGCAGAAGCGATGTGATGAGTACTGTCTTAATGGTTGCATAAGGACTTCCGTCCCTTGTCAGCTTTTAGTGTTTGTCTATAACCACGATAACAGTCTCCTCATTCAGTTAATCATATCGGTAGGTTCATTTTGTGTGGCTGTTGATTTCAAGCTCATGAGCAGGAGACATTTTGGTCTCTTTGACTTATTCTGTCAACCACTTGTTCTGTATGCACAGGGAACAGGAAAGTTGATTCATGGGCAGATATCCTGACATTCATTTACTGAGATATGAAAAAGTACCTAGGAGCTCCTCTGTAATCTGTCCATGTACAGGAATGCCCTAATATGGGCATGGGTCGACCTAACTGGAGGTAAGACCCGTTTCATTGGGTATAAATCTTGATTATCAATAAGATCGTTTTGACTTGCTGCCGACAATATTTTTAAGCAAATGATATGAGAGGTGGAATCTCATTGGCCAATGGAAGGGATATTACTGGTAAAAGACTTTTATAGTGAGTTAACTCCCTTGCTTCAGGAAGATGTGTTGAAGGATTCTGCAAGAAGTCTTGTGAAACAGGACCACACAGGGACTGACCATTTGATATTCTGTGTGCAGACTAGATACCTTTTAAGCTTCAGCTGTAAAACCAGATATATTTTTTTAATGAAAACTGTGCCTAAATCATTTTTTTTTTAAAAAACATCTTGGAACTATGTACTTTTTTGTGGCAGACAATTTTCTGTTTTGACAATCTGAGCATAATTTATTGTTTGAAGCCTTTTTCCAGACAATATACACTTTTTTTTCTAAAGTCCCAGGCCATCCCCAGAATACCAAGTAATATGACCATCATGATGTGTACTCATGTTTTACGGAGCTGCCAACTGTTGAAATGGGGGAAAAAATCTGAATTTGACTCTTTTTTTATCCCACCAATAATAAGTGATAGCATTTTGCACCAAAAATAAATTTTCTAAACAAGGACCCATTATTAATTATTTGCAGTGGATCATCTGGCCACTTTGCTACACTAAATGTATGTTTTGTCTGAAATTGTTTCAGAATGGGCTAATGCCCTGTTGTAGGTCCTGCAGTGACTTTGCATTTAATCAGTTCTTATGAAAACACACTGGCAGTGGATGTTTCATATTTGATAAATTATGTTTCTTGGGGGCACTGGTGGCCAAGTAGTCAAAGGTGCCCCAATTTCCTGTGCAGAGTTGCCAGAATCCCAGTTCACCCCGATTGTTTCCAGATCAGTCAGCAACATACCTGTGTTCATGGGTATGCATCTAAGACCTGCATCACTTCGGGCTTTACTCCCACATTAAGCTGACAGGTTCTGATGTAACTGATTTATGTGTTAAGAGCAGCCTCTCAGGTATTATGTATGTAATCTATCACAGACCAGACAGGACCCGTGAAGATCCGGGATAGAATAGGTCTTCAGCAACCCATGCTTGCGGTAAAAGCTGCATGTCATCATATCCCAATTGCATGGATCAATGCTCATGATGTCAATCACAGGATTGTCTGGTCCAGACTCGACATTTGCCATTTGGGCAATGTGTGGCGACTTCGGAACTAGTAAAACCTCTGCAGTTAGATCAGTTGTGTCAAAATGTGGAACAGGTCTCTCAGAAGTATAGCAAGATGTATTTGGTATGTATCTTTTGAAGGTTCAATGTTTTGCTCCTTGCACAATCGAATTTGAAGTTATTCTTGCTTGAAATTAAATGTCAACAGTTACAATGTTGGGACATGCCATTTTGGTCATCATTCTCTACCTAAATATTGCTTTTCAATGATGTTATCCTCCATGAATATGACCTTGTATTAACATATCTGGATTAAAGTTGAGTATTTTCTCACTTGTTTTGGTATATCAACAAATCATGTAAGACAAGCATCAGTTTTAGAAATCCAGTGAAGCCCAGTGGTTAAAGCGTTCACTTCCCGACATGGGTACAATGTATGAAGCCCATTTCTGGTGTCCCCAACTGTGACATTGCTATTGGTGTATTTCCATGTTAACCAGGACTTTTACCCCAATTGCGTCAATCACTGGATTGTCTGGAGCAGACTGCTGTCATAGCTGGAATATTGCTGAGTTTGACATCAGATGTTGCACAATGAAAGACCGCAAAAGCAATTTCAAGCTAGCAATTATCATTGGTTATCCAGTGTCTTTTTGTGGTGCTCCGACATCTGCCTCAAGATCACCTGGTAGCTGGTGGATGCTATGAAGATGTCAAGCCAATATAATGGACATTTACAAAGAAATATCTGCGATGAAAACACATGATGATGGCCCATATGAAATTACCAAGCATTGGATGATTTATGAATATGCTGCTGATATATATATTGAGTTGCAAAAAGACACTGGATAATTGCTAGCTTGAAATTGCTTTTGCGGTCTTTTATTGTCAAGTCTCACCTAGACAATCCTGTGACAGGCTTTAATGATTGACATGTATCAACCGAGCAATCCCTTCAGTCGCCTCTTATCGATATTACAGCAATATGGGCGGTTCCGGGTAGTGTGATGGGAAAACAAAGAAGACTGGTGGCTGGCACACAACATTTATTCTGCTCAACTACACAAGATATTTCTACATTTAAAGTAACCCATGCTGTCGACTTGCAATCATTCTGCAAACGTACACCCACAAAATCCATTTTACTGGCCACTCATCAGGATGTGCTAAAACTTGGTTTTGTCACTCTAGTCTCACTGAGGCCCAACTCCGAATCATTGGGGACACATCTGAGCAGTGCAGCCAAACTTGCTCCCAAGAACAGGGTAATTCTGGACAGCTTCAGTACCCATTATTCCCAGGAGTCCTACGCAATCACCTCTCAATTGAGAAACCAAAATTGCTATCCTTAATGAAATGAAAGTTTCAGAGACGTGATACACCTAATCCCAATTTGAGCAAAGGTAACGTGGAGTAAGACATGCATCTTGCCTAAATCCATGTTGGTTTGTTGTTTAACGCCGCACTCATCAATATTCCTGCTATATGATGGTCTGTAAATAATCGTGTCTGGACCAGACAACCCAGTGATTGATATCATGAGCATCGATCCACGCAATTGGGATACGATGTCATTCATCAACCAAGTCAGCGAGCCTGACCACCCGTCGCCATTTATGGCAAGCATGGGTTGCTGAAGACCTATTCTACCCCGGATCTTCACGGGTCCCTAAATACGTGTACAGTATCCAGAGTAATCAGTTGATGGAATCCAAATGCAGGTTGAAGTTCTTTAGATGATAGTTTCATCATAGCAGATGGCGTTAGCTCGGAAGACTGATGAAAGGCCCTGTGGAAATAATTACAGAGTTAAGTTATGCAACATACAACATTACGGTTAGAATCTTATATGATCACATAATAATTATTGATTATAGTAACTAACTAGTTACCTTTACATATCGATGTATCATCCTATAAACGATCATATCATGCCGTGTCGGCTAAATGTGTGAGGAAAGCAGATCTTAGACATTTATCACTTTGGGGAAACCCACAAGCATGGGTACATGCTCAAAAACCAAGAACCATAACCCACTGTCATAGGATTCTGACGTGTCCAAGGGAAGCAACTCAGTACATTGAATTGCGACGACACTGACTGGGCCACCCGTGTGTCTCCGTACACAAGAGTAGACATAATGTATACTGACAAACAGGTTTTCTATGAAATTGATCATGATTACATTGAACAATAACTTGAGTGCACAATATGCAAAAATAGAATAAAATACAAGAAATAACTCACCGTGTGTATGGCACTGACCCCAATGACGTCAGTTACCCCAGGTATGTAATTACCATGGTCACCCACCTGAAGGTAAATGTCAACAAAAAGTTCGGTTTGATCTGCCATTCCATATCACACACTGCACAAGAGTTTTATCTATCATCGAACTTTTGAACTGGTCCCCATGTTAGGTAAACAACTTTAATTTATTTAAAGGTAGATAGATATAATAGGTGTACACGATAAGTAACACACACACTTGAGAATGCTTTTTGAAAAGAGCAATTATAAACTTACATATGTGAAGCATTTTAGCAGACCTAGTAAGGGACAGACTCTTGGATGGCTAGCATTTTACCGGATAAAATAAATTGTCATCGAAAGATTTCAGGAAAAAACTGCTTCAGACGGTTGAAAAAGATAATATTGTCGGTCGCAAGGAATACATTGTTGCAATTTTAATATATCCACTTGCACCCAAGAGACTCCAATGAAAGTGTACAAGTGAGCTGACGAGTCACCCTGTCGCCCAAAGCCCAGAGAAACAATAGTGCAGGCAAACACAATGGCAACTGCTGTTATAACAGTGCGGCAGGTTAGATTAAATACATAACACCTTTATAGGGATAGCAACTTCTTTTACTGTTTGAACGAAAGTTTCAGACCTACTTTTTGCTCCCTCATCAAGCATTTACCTGACGAAGGAGCAAGAGGTAGCTCTGTACGTCGTACAAAGAATAAAAGAAGTTATTATCCATTAAAAGGGCCATGCATTCATGTTCTCCCAACTTCTAAATGCCCACCAAAGATTTCACGTCAGATTAAGTACTAATACTAAGACCTAGGCATTTAAATAGTAACTGAAATTAAATACACTTTAAAATATATACATTATGACACTGCTGCATTTGTATTCACTGAGCAATGCTACCAACTCACCAAGGGTGGTAAACTGGACTTTTATAGTCAGTTAATTAATACTATAAAATGTCTTGTAAATTATCTTTAACAGATTTGGACTACAGAACATCATAGACATGTTGATTTCAAATTCATCAGTGGGTTGAGAAGCCTTTTTTTTAGTATGGAAATCAGTAGCTGCGTCTTGTACGTACGACAGTTCTGTCAACTTCTATAAAATACTTCTCGAACGTTTGGTGGTAAAATAAGGACAAGTCCGGGAAGTTCTGTTTTAAACTCAAACCAAATCCATTTCCTAAACGTTCTCGATGTATGCAGAAAATGTCATTTGCTTGGGGTAATTAACTGGCATATTAAAACCTACCCCGACAGTGGAAGCTGTTTGGGGTTCCCAGAGCCACCCGAATTCTCTCCCTCTGGGTCGGGCATGCTGGCCTGACTCCGTGTGGCACACTCAACAAAAACTGTCATGAAAATGGAATACAAAGTCATTTTTTTACTTCCACGTTGGATTTTCATTTGTCGTACCTTCAAACGTTCTCCACCTGTCATCAAATGTTAGTGTCAACAAGGAAAGCTGCCCGCCGGCACGCAAAATACTTTTTCAGATCGACCACACAGGACGGAAGACAAGGCTGATCTGCACATGCTGCACGGACGACCTGTCACCATACTCGGCCCTGATTGGCCTATCTTGTCACGTGCAGTGGTCCACGGACAGAGCTTTATTTGAAGTGACCTTGTCATAATGTTTACATCTCACAATAGATTGACACATAAATAAAAGGTTTGTCCAACCACTAGAGCCATCAGTTACTTTGATCACCTTAGTAAATCTAGGAACATGTTCAATAAACCACTGAATACATGAAGCTGACACACGTTTCTGCACGGAGGCTTCTGGGTGGTGGGGTCGCCGAGTGGTTAAATCGTTTGCTCGTCACGCCGAAGACCCGGGTTCCATTCCCCACATGGGTACGATGTGAAGCCTTAATTGGTGTCCCCGGTCGTGATATTGCCGGAATATTGCCCAAAGCGGCGTAAAAACCTACTCGCTCACTTATTTTGCATGTACTGTTGGCCCTTCGTTTCACTGTTCAAAATATTATATGGACCATTTCTCGTCTGATGTTCTTCCAGTTTACCTCCAGGGGAATATTTCTGACCTAATTAGATGGCACTGGAGATCAAGGTTACTCATAAATACTTACATCATGTTTGTTGATTAACGCCACACAACAATATTACAACCATATAGTGGCAGTCTGTATACAATCAATTTGGACCAGACAGTCCAGTGATTATAATTAATCCATGAGTTTTGATCTATGCAGTTGTGATACGATGACATGCATCAACCAATTAGATTCATATCCCTAAAACACGACAACCTGTATCAGCTGAGGAAGATTTGATTAATCATATATATCTTGCATTTACTATTACACAGACAGCGTCCCAGTTTCACACAAGTTACTTATTACAAAATCTGGGAATTGATAAGAAGTGAAACTCATCGGTATGGCGCTGACAAACCTCAAAACTATCAGGACGAACTGGGATTCACCCCCGGTCCTAGGTGTCCGGCATTCCTGAGAGATTCAACTCCTCACATTGCAGTGCCTTAGACCTACTCACAAACCGTGACCATCTGATTATCATAATAGTCGGCTCTAAGGGCAAGCATGTGCTGCTCTCACAGCCTCGGAATACCCCGCAATACCAAGGAATACCCAATCAAACCAAGGAATACGCCGCTATACTCAGGAATAAAACGCAATACCAAGGAATACCCAGGAATACACCGTCATACCCAATATAATTACATATGAGAGTGTTATAACGGCTCTGTAGCCAACATAATATTTACATATGAGTGTTATAACGGCTCTGTAGACAACGTTATTACATATGAGACTATTATAACGGCTCTGCAGCCAAGGTTATTACATATGAGAGTGTTATAACGGCTCTGCAGCCAAGGTTATTACATATGAGAGTGTTATAACGGCTCTGCAGCCAAGGTTATTACATATGAGAGTGTTATAACGGCTCTGCAGCCAAGGTTATTACATATGAGAGTGTTATAACGCCTCTGCAGCCAAGGTTATTACACATGAGAGTGTTATAACGCCTCTGCAGCCGCACCACTGACCTCATGTATTATAGCGGCTCTCCGACCAATGGAACTGGTCATGGGTAGTTGAAACTTCGATGAGCAGGAAGGACATTGCATAACGTGCCATAAAACTCACCAGCCAAAGACAAACTCCATTCTCATGACGGGTGTTCACCTGGAACACATGAAACAAACAAAATAACACAAAACATAAAGCATATCCATACATGTGCACGTCATGTTTAGCCTCCAAGTGTACCAGTTACTGGATAAAGCCAAACTCATGTATAGTAACTGTAGGTGTGGGAGTGGGAGTGGGAGTGGGAGTGGGAGCTGTTTATGGTACAATAAAACAATGCAGGGAGAATAAACCATGAGGGCCGCAGTGTGGTTTATTTCATGATAAAACATTGTTCTACCATGACGTCATTTCTGGAGATTTGAACATGCGCTCGCAACTTTGGACGACGTTACTTTTAAGAGGGAATTGTCCAACGAGTTGTTCCCCGTAGATGTAGCCGGGCAACGTAGATAAACGCAATGGCAGAACGATCGTATCCAAAAGCGGGAGAGATATGACAATCGGTATTGGGAGAAAAGGTACAGTTATCGACGTGCAAATTATGAGAATATGCGGGAAAGACCAAATAGATCCCCCGCCCCCAGCCCTTTTAATAAAATTGACTTGTCAGACATTGACGAGGTCAGATTCTATTCAGAGAATCATCATTATTTAAATACGTGAAAATACATTTAAAGCTTTTAAATTTTGTTACCATCCTTGAAGAGGCTGTACATAATATTGATATTTCATATAAAAAAATAAACGATACATGGTCGTTGTTTATTGTACAATAAAACACTGCATGATAGAATAAAATAGAAAACTATTTCCCTCTCATTCAAACTTCAACCGAAAAAAATATCATTTATTGGTGAAATTATCACGCACCTAAATCCTATTCACTGACCGACTGACACTATCTTGTCATGCACAGCGCATTAAATTCCCATTTCCTGATAGGACGACCTGCACGTTGATACAGATAGGTATAAGTATGTCAAACCTGATACAGTCTGACCATCAATGATCAATATCTTTTTAAAGACACACTACTTCAAACTTCAACCGAAAAAATATATCATTTATTGGTGAAATTATCACGCACCTAAATCCTTTTCACTGACCGACTGACACTATCTTGTCATGCACAGCGCATAACATTTGCATGTCCTGATAGTGTGACCTGCACCACGTTGCACGTATCTGTGCACGTTGATATAGATAGGTATAAGTATGTCAAACCTGATACAGTCTGACCATCAATGATCAATATCTTTTTAAAGACACACTACTTCAAACTTCAACCGAAAAAATATATCATTTATTGGTGAAATTATCACGCACCTAAATCCTTTTCACTGACCGACTGACACTATCTTGTCATGCACAGCGCATTACATTTGCATGTCCTGATAGTGTGACCTGCACCACGTTGCACGTATCTGTGCATGTTGATATAGATAGGTATAAGTATGTCAAACCTGATACAGTCTGACCATCAATGATCAATATCTTTTTAAAGACACACTACTTCAAACTTCAACCGAAAAAATATATCATTTATTGGTGAAATTATCACGCACCTAAATCCTTTTCACTGACCGACTGACACTATCTTGTCATGCACAGCGCATTACATTTGCATGTCCTGATAGTGTGACCTGCACCACGTTGCACGTATCTGTGCACGTTGATATAGATAGGTATAAGTATGTCAAACCTGATACAGTCTGACCATCAATGATCAATATCTTTATAAAGACACACTACAGCATCAGTAAGCTGTAGGAGGCGTTACAGCGCTTCACACACAGGCGTTCTTTGCATATTATACCGCTAATACCAGCTGTTTCTCGCACAGTATCGGAGATCTGTTCACAACAATGGCGTGTCGCGGAATAGCAGTATTGGCTGTGTTGCTGTGGGCTACAACGAGCACCTCTTCTTCATCTCCACAGCGCCCCAACATTGTGTTCATCGTAGCTGACGACCTAGGTAAGCTGGACTGATGATGATTAATGTCATGCTGAATTAATACGATACTCTCTCGCAGCTCCTGAACCATAATCATTTGCCCTTCTGCCCAGCCCTTACTGTAATCATATCACTGATTGTACCCTCCAAGTTATATATTTTCAGAGACTAAGCGTTAGTCTAGCAACCTGACAATGTGTGCACGCTTGTCGAAGATCCATCGATCCTATGTTCACATTATTTGCTGTGATAAACCTCATTAAGACTGCAATACATCTTGCATTTCAATTATTTATTGGAGCTTTTATCAACGTTTGGATGTACAATCTCACATTGAAGGCTCACCATGTGATGCATGGCGAAACGCCATCTCGATTAAACAACGTAACAGCTGTTATGGCGATCACATGTTATTGACGTCTTGTCCGCGAGATTTTAGAGATGTTTCCTGAAGTATATCAATCCTGCGGACACGTTTCCTTATTTGTTTATTGTTTAACGCCTTTCTCAGCAATATGCCAGCTGTATAACGCCCCACCGGTGGTACCCGTTGCACACACATGCAAAGGCAAGTCAAACGTTCAGCTTAAAAACAACACGGGAACGTTTGGAACCTGTCAAAATAGGGAATTGCATCGGACATAGTTCTTGTCACTGGTTCGTGCAATTGTGAAATGTCCCCTACATGATTACCAAAAAAACGTTTTTAAAGCTTTGCTTTTGATGTGAAGAATGTGTTTAAATTTATATTTTTGACGCTGAACATGAGAATGAAACCAAATATTATGGATGGCCTTTGCCACAGGTCAGCCCTTAAGCTCTTTCAACAGGTCCTTCCTATCCGCATATGCATTACAGAGTGTAACAGGAAACTGGGGTTGTTATGTGTAAGTTTGAACTGGGGACTGTTTACTGAGTGAGTGAGTATGTTTTAAGCAGCGTATAGCAATATTCCAGCAATGTCACGACGAGGGACACCAGAAATGGGCTTCACACATTGTACCCGTATCGGGAATCGAACCCGGGTCTTCGACGTGACGAGAGAACGCTTAAACCACTAGGTTACCCGACCGCCCCTGTGGATTGTTTAGAGGTGTGTTGCGTGTTGGTCGTAGTTATTAATATCGTATTCAATTTTGTTAGGTATCCTCCATATTGTCAGCGTGTTGTATTTCAGGCTGGAATGACGTTGGCTTTAGGAACCCTGACATCCTCTCCCCAAACATAGACAAGCTGGCCAGAGAAGGGGTCATCCTCAACAGTTCCTACGTCCAGCCTGTCTGTAGTCCGTATGTTGCTTTATGGCATCGATGATGTCATTGTAAAAATATCCTCCATGATTACTGTTATAATTTTTTTCTATAACGGTATAAGGTCCGGGGTTCATACCAAAAGACGTTAAAAGATGGTACTTGTTGTTACCCTGTCTGGCCCTCGGCATTAAGGGGCTAAAACAAGGACTGGTCGGCTCGGAGTCAGTATGCTGTGTGTGAGTGGGGTATTCATGTTAAACTGCGACATGGTATCTCAGTGAGCTAGCACTATAAGGCGGCATCAGTACGGACTATTTCAAGCAGCCACATACACACGCACACACACACATGCACGGCGCTATATAAGTGCAATAATCTTGGACGCGACGTTAAACACAATTTCAACTCACCTCGCTTTTTCTATAGGGCATCGACGATATCATGGTAAAAATGTACTCCATGATTACTGTTAAAATTATTCTTTATAA